GCTGTTCAGTCTGTTGACTCCAAGTTTCGGATGGGAGATTGGAGTAACCAAAAGGTCGAAGATACTATAAAACAGGGAGAGACTTCTGCTCTTGGTCTATTAGCTTCTACATATGGAAATTCATCTGATTCTGAAGAAGATTTTGCTGAACCAAATGCTACCGTCTTTCGTGATGCGACAAAGATAAACTCTGCAAAAGTTTCCCCAGAAAGAAAATTTCAGTGTTCTCGTTTATCTCCTGATTCAAATAAGAGTCTCAATCCCTCATTACCAACAGCTGATTCCAAGGAGGAAGCTCCTCTCCATGTTAGTTATTGCTTTTCCAAACTTGGATCTGGAAGGTTTGACATCATGAATCAGAACACTGAAACATTTGACCCTTCTGTCGAGTTTAAAACCAATGGTTTGGAGGATATGTTTAGAGACCGAAGCACAGTGTCACATGCTAATCCAACTCAGTCTCCAGCTACTCACAGCACAGACAAAATGAGGTTTAGCAAGGCTGTACTAATGGAGAATGTTGATAATCCATTTGTTCGGAGATCAGATGAAGATTCTCCTCAAAATGCATGTTTTCTGTCTCAAGCATGCTGTAGAAGTAGAACAGCAACTTCGCCAAATCGGAGGAGTGCATGTATTTCTCCTTTGTCATCCAGGTAGATTTTGGAATACGATATAAGCAAATCAATATTTTCACTAGGGATCGGCATGGGTTGGGTTTTGGCCAACCGACCCGACCCAAAAATTTTACATCCTTCACCCGACCCGAAAATATATACCTGAACGCGACCCAAAACATCAACTTTAAAAAAAACACGACCCGATCCGACCCCGAAATTAAAAAAAACCGTTCCTATCGGATCAGATCGGGTTAGAACCCGTCGGGTTCGGGTCCCATGCCCATCCCTATTTTCACATCACCTTGTACTCGGCTTCCTCACCCCCAAAAGGGAGAAAACAAAAAGAAATCGGGATATACTACTTTTTGTGAACTAATCTGCATTTCCTTGTGTTTCTAGATCATATGCAACTCTCTTTTTTATGTCACTGCATGCGAGTAAATATGTCGAATAGGTAGGGGTAAATACGGAGTTCTCTATTTAACCTTTCCTTGCTTTTATGTAGAGATTATTGGTACACATGGAAGGGAATTGTGAAAGGTTCAATCTCTATTTTATAATCAATGTGAGGCACCATCCACCACGCAACTTGTCCCTTGACTTGTTTCTTCGAATTTCAACAATTTCGTTTTGGGCCTGGGGAAAGTGTCTTGTTACTGGTTATTATAATGTGCATGTTTTGCATCATTCAGAAACCAAATAAACATTTTTAGCAATTGTCTGTTTTTAGATTCCTTTGTTTCACGCCGATTACAATTATTATGTATGAAACATTGCAGAGTACCCCAAAATAGAAGCAGAAGCGAAGTTGGTGGCCGAAGAACTCGGAATTGATCATCCCTGGAATGACATCTTGTATGGGGATGCTACTAAGAATGAATAAGAACAGATCCAGTCAGCTCTTGATAGTCAGGATTTTATACCCGGGAATGGGGACTGGGCAGTAAAGCTCGGTATAAACCTATTTTACAGTGCCAATCTCAGCCGCTCAACACTATACAGTAAACAGATGCCATACAATTGTGTTGTATACACTGCGTTTGGCCGTAATTCTCCTGCTAGCTCATTAACAAAGTTGAATCTGTATGGGAGGAGGTCCAGCAGGCCGAGAAAAGTAGTGGCTGAAAAATGGTGTGGTAAAGTTTGGATGTCGAATCGGGTTCATCCATTTTTAGCTCAAAGGGATCCTGAGGAACAAGAGCAAGAACAAAACTTCCATGCTTGGGCAAACTTCGGATGAAAATGTTGAGAGGAAACTGGAAAACGTCCGGAAAGCTGAAACAGCGAAAGTGTTTAATAGGAAGGGAAAGAAGAGGGCAGAGATCGCAGCTAACAAGAAAGTGAAATGCATTGAGCCGCAGGGTGCTGTTTCGGATGATTCGTTGGATGCAGGTTCTCTTAGGCAGCAGCAGGTAGTTTTTAGAGGCAAGAAACCTAGACTGATCGAGAAAGAAGAGGAAAGTTCACGTGATCTGCTTGAGGATGATTTTCTGCTGCAGCAATGGAATCCCTCGAGGAAAAAAGGGGCAAATTTTATTGAAAGAGATGATGCGGAATCGGAGGATGCAAAAGAGGATTCTACCCGTCAGCATCAACAGTGCTATCTCAGAGGCAAGCATGGCAACTCTATTGAAGAAGATGAAGTTTCCAGAGACTCACTCGTTGAAAGTTCTCTTAAGCAGCATAAGAGAGTTCCTAGAAGCTGGCAGGCCAAATTTTCGGACAGAGAAACTGTAGTGTGCAATGATGAACAAGAAGAAATTTCTCATTTGCAGCATCGGAGGATCCCGAGAGGCAAGCAAATGAAGTCAGCCAAGAGGAATGCCTCAGTCTTAGATGATTCACGAGCAGATAATTGCCTTAAGCATTATAAAATAATGCGTAAAGACAAACAAAGAAAGTTTCTCGAGAGTGATGATGCAATGTTAGACGAAGATTCGGACGATGATTCTCTTAATCAGCTTAGGAGGATTTTGAGAGGAAAGCAAATGAAGTGCATGGAAAGAGATGATGAGTTTTCAGATGATTCAGTTGAGGATAGTCCTAAACAGCAGCATCGGAGGGTTCCTAGTAGCAAAGCAGCCAAATTTAGTGATATGAGGGTTCGTAGTAGTCAGCTAACTGAGTTTACTGAGAGGGAAGATGCAGTTTCATCTGATTCTCCAGATGACAGTCCTCTTCGGAAGCCTCGGAGGATTCCGAGAAGTAAGCAAACCAAGATTCTTGAGCGAGAAAATGCAGTTTCAGATGATTCGTCGGATGGTACGTTTCATCAATCAAAAAAGAGTCTTAGAAGCGGAAAAAGGAAAGCCCCAACACCACGAAAAGTAAAACAAGTAATCACTCGGAACGCGAAACATCAGTCAACAAAACAAGTAGTCTCTCAGCAAGTGAAACAAGAGACTCCTCGGAATCAGAACACCATAATTAAGCAAAGTGCTAGAGAGTGCAGTTCATCTGATGAAGATGAAACTGAAGGTGGACCAAACACACGCCCAAGGAAAAGAAGCCAAAAGCCTCTGAGAGAGCTGGAAACAAAACCGAAAGAGAATCGATCCAGTAAGAAGAAAGTGAAGAATGCTTTGAATTCGAAAACTGAAGCTGATCACATCACTGCAAAAGTAAGAAATGAAGAGGAGGAATATCAGTGTGACATTGAAGGCTGCTCGACGAGTTTCGGCTCAAAACAAGCGTTGCTCATGCACAAAAGAAACATTTTTCCTGTCAGAGGGTGTGGGAAGAAGTTCTTCTCACACAAATATCTGGTTCAGCATCGTCGAGTTCATTTAGATGACCGGCCTCTTAAATGCCCATGGAAGGGCTGCAAGATGACATTCAAGTGGGCATGGGCTCGAACCGAACATATTAGGGTTCACACAGGTGCTCGTCCTTACGTATGTGCTGAGGAAGGCTGCGGCCAGACATTTCGTTTCGTGTCGGATTTTAGTCGTCACAAACGGAAGACTGGACACTCGGGAAAGAAAGGTAGACGATAATTCGAAGGAAGGAAACTGCAACATTTTTAATGAAACCTGCTAATCAATTGCCAATCTAGGGTTAGTATTTCACCATTGTTGTCATTCAGAGAAGTGTTAATCATGTTTAATCCTGGGATTTCATTGAGCCCATTCATTTACTTGCAATCAGAGCATTGAACCAGATTCTCACTCCCTTCATTTACTCTTTTTACCGCCTTGGATGTTGCATCAAAACATATATTTCATCATTATAATAGCATTTGTAGCTCCAGGTAGATGAGCTTACTCATCTCATTATAAACCTACGATAATCAATCGTTAGTGGTAATTATAAATTTTATTATTTAAAACTGGCGTGGTAAACTCGATACATGAATTAAATATTTTGAATTATAAATATTTTAAGCATCAATATTTTCATAACATAACGATGTTTATTTATTTATTTATTTATATAATTATATCGATAAAATGATCATTTAACACATTATTTATCACTTAACAACTTAATAATATATTTGAATCGAAAATTAAAATTTAATATTGTACTATATCAATTTATAATTAAATGATACTTTCGCTAAAACATAAAAGTTTATGGTATCTCCTCAAAATAATAAATAGAGTAAAGTACATAAATGATCTCGACTACATGATACTGTTTTATTAAACTTTCGATTATTAAAAGTTATAAAATGGTTCTCTAATTATAGTGTGTTATATTGTTGAGTCTCTCAACTATTAAAAATTATAAAACAATCACATAACTATTCATATGTTTTAAACTTGTTCTTTTATGGTAAAAAAATAAAACATTGTCTAAGTTGTATGTTAACCTTTTAGTTGAGATATGATAATAATTGATCACAAAATCTTAAAGACTATACAATTCAAACATTTATGCGATCAAATTTTATCATATCCTAGTCAGCATGTTAACATACATCTTAGAAGGCTGTTAATTTTTTAACGAAAAATGACGAGTTTAGAATATATGAATAATTGATTGATCATTTTGTAATTTTTAATAGTTGAGAGACTCAACAAAACAACATCTTACAGTTGAGGGATTGTTTTATAAATTTTAATAGTCGATGGACCATCTGCGTACTTTACCCTAATAAATAATGAAGAGATGGTGGCAGGAAGGTAAATGAAAAGAAAATGGCTGTCATTTCATAACTTTTAGTCTTTTTTAAGTCCAAACGCAGAATAAATCCACACATCCCATCCAGCTCCCCATAGTGTAGTTTGCTTTGCCTCTCTGCCCCTTCGTCTGTTATTCATAAAATAATTTTTTATATATAAAAAACAGGGGAAAATATAAAACAAAAGAGAACCCATTTCTCATACTAAAAAACAAAGAAAATGGAAGCTTTTTGTTTTGTTTTTCTTTTCTAGTGACTTTTCGTAAATCGTAATATGAAGTTTTGTCAATGATTACCTAAACCTTACCCACACAGAGATTCACTACACTTCATTTCCATGTCTCATTCATCAGAGCAAAGTCAAGAGGTGTTTTCATGGCTGAAATCCATGCCTTTAGCTCCAGAGTATAGGCCTTCTTTAGCAGAGTTTCAAGATCCAATTGCATACATTTTCAAGATCGAAAAGGAGGCTTCCCATTATGGAATCTGCAAAATCATACCCCCGGTGCCACCTGATCCTAAAAAGACAGCAATTGGGAACCTCAACCGTTCCCTTCTGGCTCTTGCTGCAGCTAATTCAAGCTCCGATTCCAGGCCAGCACCCACATTCACTACCCGCCAGCAGCAGATCGGGTTTTGCCCCAGAAAGCCCCTTCCTGTTCGGAAACCCGTGTGGCAAAGTGGGGAGTACTACACATTCCAAGAATTCGAAGCCAAAGCCAAGAGTTTCGAGAGGAATTACTTGAAGAAACACAGCAAAAAGAGTACCTTTTCGGCTTTAGAAGTAGAAACCCTTTTTTGGAAAGCAACGGTTGATAAACCCGCCATGGTTGAGTATGCTAACGATATTCCTGGTTCGGCTTTTGTGCCTTTGAGCTTAACGAAGAGCAGCGGGAGAGGGGGAGAAGCAGGGGAAGGGTTTACAGTGGGGGAAACGTCTTGGAATATGAGAGCTGTTTCGAGGGCAAAGGGATCATTGTTGAGGTTCATGAAGGAGGAGATTCCGGGGGTTACTTCGCCTATGGTCTACATTGCAATGTTATTCTGTTGGTTTGCTTGGCATGTTGAGGATCATGACTTGCATAGCTTGAATTATTTGCATATGGGAGCTGGGAAGACTTGGTATGGTGTTCCGAGGGAAGCTGCGGTTGCTTTCGAGGAGGTGGTCAGGGTTGAGGGCTATGGTGAGGAGTTCAATCCTCTTGGTGAGTTTTAATGAACTATTGATCGTGTTTCCTCTGTTTCTTCGCTAGCTACATGCCAAATAGATTATGCAATGAACCAAGTGGTCGCCCATGTAGGATAACAATGGCTTGATCATCAAGTCTGAGAAAATGAAGAATTAACTTAATAGTCTTGGTGCACGAATTTGACTTCTTGTTGAATGGGTCAACAGACCTTTTGTGTGTCAATGGAGGGGAGTTCAACCCTTCTTAGTGAGTTCAGTGAACTATTAATTAATGGTCTCTCCTCTGTTTCTTCACTAGCTACATGTGAAATACTTTGTGTTCTGCTGACTCTGCATATGTAAGTAGTAGCCCATATAGGATAACATTAGTGTGATTGACTAGTTTGAATGAAGGGGCAAATAACATAAAAGGCTATGCTCAAATTTGACTTCTTGTCGAACGGTGTCAATGGAGCTTTTTATGTGGTTTTAGTTATCTGTTTCATTGTGGTCAGTGAAGGGGATTCAATCCTCTTGTTGAGTTTAGTGCTATTAATTCTTTGTCCTCTGTTTCTTTGCTAGCCATATGTGAAATACTTTGTGTGGACTCCACATATGTTAGTAGTATCCCATATAGGAGATCATTGGTGAGATTGACTAGTTTGAGCAATCAAAGAAATAACCCAATAAACTCGGTGATCGAATTTGACTTCTTGTTCAACAGTGTCAAATTGTCAATGGAACTTTTAAGTGGTTTTCATTATCTGTTAGCTTTGTGTGTCAATGGAGGGGAGTTCAGTCCTCTTGGTCAGTTTAGTGAACTATTAATTGTGTTTCCTCTGATTCTTCGCTTGTGAACTATTAGTTATGGTGCCGATATTGTACCCTTTTGCAAATATACCGAGTAAATTTCATTTTTTATTTTTCATGTGTTAGTTACCTTTTCTACTCTTGGTGAGAAGACAACAGTGATGTCTCCTGAAGTATTTGTTCACGCCGGGATACCATGCTGCAGGTAAAGTTATCTCATACTCTTTTGCACTATCAAGTAATCTTAGGTTCAATTCAAATCCTAACTTACTACTTGCGATCCTTAAGCTGCACATCTTTTGGCTTGCTTTTCATTTTTCTCTCATTCTGTAGGTATTTGAATAGTATTTTTGTTCTTTTAAATTAAATTTGCGTCCAATCCTTTTCTCCTTATTTTAGAAAAGATGATATATTAAGAAGTTTCCTTGAAATACTTTAAATTGGAATCTATTCTCATAATGTCTTAGTGAGGGATGGTATCTATCACTTTCTGACATTAATGGTATTCTGAAATCAGGTTAGTGCAAAATGCTGGGGAGTTTGTTGTCACTTTCCCAAGAGCCTATCATTCAGGTTTCAGTCATGGTGAGAAACTTTTGAATTTCTATAGTTACAATTTAGGAGGGAGCTATTTCATTCATATGTTTTTGCTGTTAGGGTTTAACTTCGGAGAGGCGGCTAATATTGCAACTCCAGAATGGTTGAGAGTGGCCACAGATGCTGCTATCCGTAGGGCTTCAATCAATTACCCTCCAATGGTCTCTCATTTCCAGTTGCTTTATGATCTCGCACTTGAATTATGTTCTAGGTATGTGGCTCGTGTATATTGTAAAGACAGTATGATTTATCTGATGCTTGGGTTTCTTCATTTCTTGATGCATTCTGCCTTCTCAATCAAATATGGCTGAAACTCTTATAGGTTTCTGCTTGTACTGTAAACATTATTGCAACTCATGTTAATATGCATATGGAATTTAACCAACTAGTTGCTTCTCTCTTGCTCTTGATTGTGATTGGAACTTCGTGTTGTTAGTTTTGAAATATCTTTTTCTGCTCCTTCGTTGCTTCAAGTCATGACATGCTAGTTTTTTCCTAGCAATACGCTGAGTGCTGCTATCTTGCCACTATGTCTGTATATGTGGTTAACATTGGTACATTTTATTTAACTATGTTGCCTGGACTTCTCTTTTTTTTTTTTTTTTTTGAAGTACCTGCATCCAACACCTGTGTCCGACACATGGATATGTAGATATGATATCCTCCCAATACATGGAAAAACTTAGAAAAATCTAACCATACCTGTGTCAAATACATACCCATATTTGACATTCACACCCTAGTTCGAATAACTTAATATTAGAATATTGGAGAGTCTAAGAAACATACTCATTTTAGTTTTATTTTTTGTTGTTACGGAGTTAATTTTCGGGCATTGTAAAGGGGGCAAAATCTGTGAATACCTATTAGCAAATTCAAAATTTGTACCGAAAGTTGCTTGTAGAATGCTGAAGTGCAATAAATTGAAGAATGATAACTTTTATTATGCACCTTTTCCTCATTCTTTTTTAGGTTTCTCATTGCAGGATACCTATGAGCATCAGTGCTAAACCAAAGAGTTCTCGACTAAAGGATAAGAAAAAAAGTGAAGGAGAAAACTTGGTTAAAGAATTATTTGTGCAGGATTTAATACAGAACAATAAACTACTGCATATTCTTGGAAAAGGATCTGCAGTGGTACCACTTCCCAAAAGATCTTCTGATATTTCTCTTTGTTCAGATTTACGAGTTGCATCCCAATTAAGAATAAACCCGAGGATGTCACTTGGTTTATGTAACTACAAGGAAATAGTCAAATCATCCAAAGATGTAGGCTCCAATGAGACCACGCTAGGTTGGAATGAAGAAATCAAGGGAATAAAAGGTTTCTATTCAGTAAAAGGAAAACTTGAATCTATATATGAAAGTTACCGGGATTCTTCTTTTAGTGGAAATGATTATTCATATAGACTGCCCTCGCAGACCTTGAACACGGTCATGGAAAGAGATGGTGCCATTCAAGATGATGTGTTGCCAGATCAGAGGCTGTTTTCATGCGTCACATGTGGAATATTGTGCTTTGCTTGTGTTGCCGTTCTTCAACCAACGGACCAAGCAGTTAGCTACCTCATGTCAGCTGACTGTAGCTTTTTTAATGATTGGACTGTTGGTTCTGGAGTAAACCATGATGGATTCAATGCTGCTCATGGCAATGCAATCACTTCCGAGCAAAATCCTTGTACAAGTAGGTTATTTGTGGAAACTTTTTTTATTATCTGAGCTTCATATGATTACATTCTAGTCAAAATAAATATGTGTTTTTCATTTCTGTTAACGTATTCCTTGTGCTTATGGGACGATAGCTTTATCTTTATGATGCATATAAGCAGTTCGATAAATGATTGTAAGTAGACTAGCTTGGCATTTGGCTGAATGTCATTGGCTTCCTACGAAATGTTATATCCAAATTGTAATAGAGATGTGATAACACAAATAAGGTAATGGGAGTTATGCCTTGGTTTTATGTTTAGTCTTATGGCAATGGACTTGGGCGATTGAGTCAATTGGTTGCTCATATACTTGCATTTGAATAGGATGCAATAGTTTCCTTGTTTCAAGTTAAATTGCGTATGCTACATGATATCTGGATGATCATATGCTTGTCTACTGATCAGCATGCTTATTCGAGCTTTGGAATTCATATTCTATTAAAGAGCTTTCTGCTATTTCCTTTGCTGCAGATTTGCTAGAAACATGATCTTTTGTTTCTTTTTCCCTTCCCTTTACAGATAGAATGAATAAACGTGCTCCAAATTCTTTCAATGACGTTGCTGTTCAGTCTGTTGACTCCAAGTTTCAGATGGGAGATTGGAGTAACCAAGAGGTGGAAGATAATGTAAAACAGGGAGAGACTTCTGCTCTTGGTCTATTAGCTTCTACATATGGAAATTCATCTGATTCTGAAGAAGATCATGCTGAATCAAATGCTACCGTCTTTCAGGATGCGACAAAGATAAACTCTGCAAAAGTTTCCCCAGAAAGGAAATTTCAGTGTTCTGGTTTATCTCCTGATGCAAATAAGAGTCGTAATCCCTCATTATCAACAGCTGATTCCGAGGAGGAAGCTCCTCTCCATATTAGTTATTGCTTTTACAAACTTGGATCTGGAAGAGTTGACATCATGAATCAGAGCACTCAAACATTTGACCCTTCTGTCGAGTTTAAAACCGATAAACTTATTTCAAGAAGATCCAATGGTTTGGAGGATATGTTTAGAGATCGAAGCACAGTGTTGCATGCTAATCCAACTCAGTCTCCAGCTACTTACAGCACAGAGAAAATGAGGTTTAGCAAGGCTGTACCAATGGAGAATGCTGATATTCCATTTGTTCGGAAATCAGATGAAGATTCTCGTCGAATGCATGTCTTTTGTCTCGAGCATGCTGTAGAAATAGAACAGCAACTTCGCCAAATCGGAGGAGTGCATGTATTTCTCCTTTGTCATCCAGGTACATTTTGGCATACGATATAAGCAAATCAATATTTTCACATCACCTTGCAGTCGGCTTCTTCACTCCCAAAAGGGAGAAAACAAAATGAAATCAGGAGATACTACATTTTGTGAGTTAATCTGCATTTCCTTATGTTTCTATATCATATGCAACTCTTTTTTTTTTTTTTTGTCACTGCATGCGAGTATATATGTAGAATAGGTAGGGGTAAATACGAAGTCCTCTATTTAACCTTTCCATGCTTTTATGTAGAGATTATTGGTACACATGGAAGGGAATTGTGAAAGGTTCAATCTCTATTTTATAATCAATGTGAGGCATCATCCACCACGCAACTTGTCCCTTGACTTGTTTCTTCAAATTTCAACAATTTCGTTTTGGGCCTGGGGAAAGTCTCTTGTTACTGGTTATTATTATGTAAATATTTTGCATCATTCAGAAACCAAATAAACATTTTTAGCAATTGCCTGTTTTTAGATTCCTTTGTTTCACGTCGATTACAATTATTATGTATGAAACATTGCAGAGTACCCCAAAATAGAAGCAGAAGCGAAGTTGGTGGCCGAAGAACTCGGAATTGATCATCCCTGGAATGACATCTTATATGGGGATGCTACTAAGAATGACGAAGAACAGATCCAGTCAGCTCTTGATAGTCAGGATTCTATACCCGGGAATGGGGACTGGGCAGTAAAGCTCGGTATAAACCTATTTTACAGTGCCAATCTCAGCCGCTCAACACTATACAGTAAACAGATGCCATACAATTGTGTTATATACACTGCGTTTGGCCGTAATTCTCCTGCTAGCTCATCAACAAAGTTGAATCTGTATGGGAGGAGGTCAAGCAGGCCGAGAAAAGTAGTGGCTGGAAAATGGTGTGGTAAAGTTTGGATGTCGAATCAGGTTCATCCATTTTTAGCTCAAAGGGATCCTGAGGAACAAGAGCTAAAACAAAACTTCCATGCTTGGGCAACTTCGGATGAAAATGTTGAGAGGAAACTGGAAAACATCCGGAAAGCTGAAACAGCGAAGGTGGTTAATAGGAAGGGAAAGAAGAGGGCAGAGATCGCAGCTAACAAGAAAGTGAAATGCATTGAGCCACAGGGGGCTGTTTCGAATGATTCGTTGGATGCAGGTTCTCTTAGGCAGCAACGGGTAGTTTTTAGAGGCAAGAAACCTAGACTGATCGAGAAAGAAGAGGCAATTTCGTGTGATCTGCTTGAGGATGATTCTCTGCTGCAGCACTGGAATCCCTCGAGGAAAAAAGGGGCAAATTTTATTGAAAGAGATGATGCGGAATCGGAGGATGCAAAAGAGGATTCTATTGAAGAAGATGAAGTTTCCAGAGACTCACTCATTGAAAGTTCTCTTAAGCAGCATAAGAGAGTTCCTAGAAGCTGGCAGGCCAAATTTTCGGACGGAGAAACTATAGTGTGCAATGGTGAACAAGAAGAAATTTCTCATTTGCAGCATCGGAGGATCCCGAGAGGCAAGCAAATGAAGTCAGCCAAGAGGAATGCTACAGTCTCAGATGATTCACGAGCAGGTAATTGCCTTAAGCAGTATAAAATAATGCGTAAAGACAAACAAAGAAAGCTTCTCGAGAGCGATGATGCAATGTCAGACGATGATTCTCAGAATCAACTTAGGAGGATTCTGAGAGGCAAGCAAATGAAGTGCATGGAAAGAGATGATGAGTTTTCAGATGATACAGTTGAGGATAGTCCTAAACGGCAGCATCGGAGGGTTCCTAGTAGCAAAGCAGCCAAATTTAGTGATATGAGGGTTCGTAGAAGTCAGCTAACTGAGTTTACTGAGAGGGAAGATGCCGTTTCATCTGATTCTCCAGATGACAGTCCTCTTCGGCAGCCTCGGAGGATTCCGAGAAGTAAGCAGACCAAGATTCTTGAGCGAAAAGTAAAACAAGTAACCCCTCGGAATGCGAAACGAGCGAAACATCAGTCAACAAAACAAGTAGTCTCTCAGCAATTGAAACAAGAGACTCCTCGGAATTGGAACACCAGAATTAAGCAAAGTGCTAGACAGTGCAATTCATCTGACCAAGACGAGATTGAAGGTGGACCAAACACACGCCTAAGGAAAAGAAGCCGAAAGCCTCTGAGAGAGCTGGAAGCAAAACCGAAAGAGAAGCAATCCAGTAAGAAGAAAGTGAAGAATGCTTTGAATTCGAAAACTGAAGCTGATCACATCACTGCAAAAGTAAGAAATGAAGAAACGGAATACCAGTGTGACTTTGAAGGCTGCTCGATGAGTTTCGGCTCAAGACAAGCTTTGCTCATGCACAAAAGAAACATTTGTCCGGTCAAAGGGTGTGGGAAGAAGTTATTGTCACACAAATATCTGGTTCAGCATCGTCGAGTTCATTTAGATGACCGGCCTTTTAAATGCCCATGGAAGGGCTGCAAGATGACATTCAAGTGGGCATGGGCTCGAACCGAACATATTAGGGTTCACACAGGTGCTCGTCCTTACGTATGTGCTGAGGAAGGCTGCGGCCAGACATTTCGTTTCGTGTCGGATTTTAGTCGTCACAAACGGAAGACTGGGCACTCGGGAAAGAAAGGTAGACGATAATTCGAAGGAAGAAAACTGTAACATTTTTAATGAAACCTGCTAATCAATTGCCAATCTAGGGTTAGTATTTCACCATTGTTGTCATTCAGAGAAGTGTTAATCATGTTTAATCCTGGGATTTCATTAAGCCCATTCATTTACTTGCAATCAGAGCATTGAACCAGATTCTCACTCCCCTCATTTACTTTTTTTACCGCCTTGGATGTTGCATCAAAACATATATTTCATCATTATAATTGCATTCGTAGCTCCAGGTAGATGAGCTTACTCATCTCATTATAATATATGTAATAAAAAATTATATCATTAACCTAATTAATATAATTTAATATGGATTATTAAGGATAATTATTTCATATATAGGTAATATAAAGAAAATATTTCAAGCCGAGCTGTGTTAAGTTGTCATGTGTTGTTTGTCGATGTCGATGTGATGATTCACTATATTAATTTAGAGAGGATGATGACATGATGAATAAATTTAATTATTTTTTAGATAATTTATAGTGAATGGATTGAGGAAAGATATAATGATTTATAGTGCTGATATAAAATTGAATTTTAGATCATCTGTATATTAAATAAATTTTCTTTTATTGATTATAATGATAAAATGGAAGTAAATTTGTGCATGAGCTCTTATATGCCCAATGGGTTATAGCCGAGTCGCAGTCATGATTGAGCAAAGCCCAATCTCAGTCTGAATATCGTTTTGTTCTAATTCCGCAGCTATAGTTCACAACTCTACTCGGTACTCACCCAAATGAAACTCCAACGACTTTTGACTCTCCCTGCAGCACGCTCAGTTACAGCTCTTTAACTCTTTCGTGGGTTCCTCGGTTTCTTCTCTACAGCCATCTCGAGAAGGTACGTACGTAGTCGATGATTGGTGGATTCTTTTGTTTCCTCTTTGTTGGTTTGATTTATGGATTTGAGTGGGGTTTGAATTCTGGTTAAAATGTTCGTTGCTTTGAATTTGAGTGTTAGGTTTCGTTGCATTGATGTGCTCTCAAACTTCATCGAAGAAATAATTAAAAGTCCCAATTTATTGTTAAATTCTGAGTAAATGTTATTCAATTTTTCTTTGATTGGAAATTTTGAATTCAGTTTTTCTTTTGCGAATTCTTATATCTGACGGATTATATCATTTATTTCGGATTCGGATTTGGGTAATGATACTCAGATTATTTGCTTGTCATAAACAGATTCAAATTTTTTCAAGGATAATTCGAAAAATCCTCACCGTTTGATGGGTTAAAATTGTATTCGAGTAAAATCTTTTCTATTTTTACTTATTTGGGTCTTTGGGGTTTCATTTTGACTGATTGTAAGTTCAATTGATGGCAGATAAATTAGGGCTTTCCTTTCATTCTTTTGGGGCTTACGTGTGAAGATCGAATAGCTAAGAGAGCAGGAAATGGGTGGGCAAGAGGTTAAGCAGCTTGAGGAATGTTCAGTTTCCAAGTAAGTTGTCTGCTCTTCCTTTTATCTCGATTTAACGTTGTTAGGTTCAGGGTTTGAACTTTTGCTTTTAGGGTTTAAGATGATTGTGGCTATTTTGAATTATCTTAACTAACGAATTTGACTGGCACTGACCATGATTGAGGCTTTTCTGTGAGGCGATGACAGCTTATGGTGTTTTGACGTAATTCAGGACTTGGAGTTGAACCGTGTTGATGTATGATTGTAATTTGACGTAATTCACGATCCACTGGCAGACCATTTTGATTACGCTTTCAGATTGTTAATATGGCTTTCGGCATGATAGTACTATAGAAATCAAAATATTATTGAATTTAGATTGGAGTCCTTTTAAAACGATCCACTCTCCAGCCATTTTGATTCCGCTTTCGGATTGTTAGTCGGTTTCCTGCATGATAGTACATAACCTGTAATATGTGTCTGGAACATGCTACGATTCAAGGCATCGAGTTTCGTGGTTCTTTAACCCTTCATAAAGTTAAATCTGTCTTTTGCCTTTAATTGTGTGTCGTGAATACATTAGATGATCTATTAAGATGAGTTGAACTGTTGTGGGATACTTGCAGTGCTTTGGGCACATGGGTGTTTTCGGTAGCGGGTGCTTTGCTAGCGATCCCGGTGGGGATTAAGCGGAAATCTCTAGCGCCCCTCGTGTTCTTTGGCACAACCGGTACAATGCTTGATATCATTATGGGAATCAGTGCTTGTGAAAGGGAGCACGCAGAACGCCAGATGAAGCTATTAGAAGCCCAGAATTCCGCAGCTGAGATGGGATCCGAACCACAGTCATAAAATATTAGTAAGGGTTTTTCGCATTCGGTCGTGCAGTGTGATTTTGAGCTACCTTTTGAACTTTTCTCGGCTGTAAAACAGACCTAATGGATCATATGGTATTTATCAATGAACTGTTTTCAGGTGAATAAGAAAGTCGCAGTCTGTCGAATCTATTAAGGTTTTCCTTTCCTTATTCTTTTCTAAAGGTCAGAGGAATGAAACAAGAACCGACACCAACAGATCTTGCTTTATTCTCAAGGTCAAAGAACGATAGCTATAGGAAGTTATTATAAATTTAAAAACAAGTGTCTGAACTATACATCTTTTCTAATTTAGCTGTCTAATTTTTTTCCGGTTAATTTAGGTGTCTAATGTTATAAAATTTATATCAAAGCATTTGTTTAAAATTTAAGAGTCAGAAGATCTAAATCTTAATTAGAAATTCGAAGTTAATGGTATTTCTGACAATTTCGATTAATAACACTACCAAAAAGAAAGTTACAGCACGGCGGATAGAGAACGATCAACCAGTTCCTTCCTCAAGATCTTCCCGGACGGAGATTTAGGTATCGAATTTATGAAAGCGACTCGTCGGATCTTCTTGTACGGCGCAACCTGCAGAAGTGTATATATATATTCTGACATTAGATCTTAACTACAAAGAAAATACACATATATCTCTGCTATTGATATAGAAACATGCCTGTTTTGCAACAAAATCCGTGACCTGTGTCTCTGTAATGCTACTTCCAGGGTTCCTCACTACATACGCCATCGGAATCTGCCCTGCTTCTTCGTTCGGGAACCTGCTCTCGAATTTGAATCGAATCGATGTGAGAATTATGACTCTACATCATATTATTACCTATATCGATTATCATAGATTATATCGAAACATATATTATCGTCATTATCATCGTTCAGAAAAAGAAAAGAATACATACGGAATCACAGCAGCATCAACAATTTCAGGATGGGAAAGAAGTAAATGTTCCAATTCAGCTGGAGGGACCTGCAATTAGGTTTCGATACACTCATCAGTACGACTATATGATCTTTTAAGAGTACGAGTACGAGTACGAGAATATGATCCTTTAAAAGATTTTGAACATATTTGTATATGACACTCGTATCCAAGATCGAGTAAGATACACTCTAAAGCAATTCACTCACCTGATATGCTTTGTATTTGATCAATTCCTTCAATCTATCGACAATGTAGAGAAACCCCTCGGAATTGAAATAACAAATGTCGCCGGTTCTTAACCAGCCTTCGGAATCCAAGGTTTCTGCAGTTGCCTTCTCATCACCAACATACCCTACATTCACACCATAAAAGAATAAACTTCTATGAACTGAAGTTCATGAAATACAATTATAATTTTTAATTAGTTCATGATTAGAATAATCTAATTTTAATTAAATATTTTAAATTTATAATTATCTTGCATGTTAAAATTAGTTCAATTTTAAATAATTATCCTGATTGAATACATAGGATAAGAGTGAAGTAGAAAAGAGTGATACCCTTCATGACTATTGGCCCTCTCAACCAAAGCTCTCCTCTTTGTCCGGGAGGCAGTGCCTCACCGGTTTCAGGATCAACTATCTTCGCTTCCATATTTGCGACGAGGCGGCCGACGGAACCGCATTGAGTTGCTTCCTTTGAACCGATAAAGTTGGTTGCTCCGCCGACTGTCTCGGTCAACCCATACCCCTTGACAAAATCATTAAAAACAATGGTATTAACATTCACCCCAACCATAAAGGAGAACAGGAAGGTGGAGAGCTGGGCCAACGGGGCAATCAACTAGAGATTCACATTCCGGCAAAGGAAACGTCCTGGATTGAGCGTTCAATAGCAGGGATAATTAAGGAAATGTATGACTTTGAATTTATAGAGGGAGCATTGGGCAGCGATGCCATCCATGCAAAAGTAGCTAAATGGGGTAACACGTCAGTCTCATGCATAGTGGTTTTCGACAGTATAGAAGAAAAAGAAGCTTGGTCGAAGGAGTGCCTGGACTTTTTGTTCGACTATATTGCACCCATTGCGAACATGGATGGAATCCCGTTATCATTTTATACATGTTCCCTCATTGGTGTCCCCCTCCATTTGTGGCACGAACAATTTTTTATGGCTTTGGGGAATCGTTGGGGTCATTTTGCTGGTGTGGATACTGTACCGAGCAACAAGGACGACTTGTTAAAAGCAAGAGTTATAGTTAGGGCGGCTAGCCCTTTTGATGTTCCGAGTTCTTTCAATTCTAGAGGGTGTGTCTTCAATATTATGTTTACAATGGAGGATTTCATTAGAAATGAATACAGTGATGATAGTAATTTGATGAACACAGTTATTGCAGAGGCAGACGATTTTAACAGGGGAGTTGAGGAGAACAATCTATTAGAGAACTAATCGGATGAAAGGGTTGACATCCAAGAGGAGCGAGTAGCGCCGATGGCCGGAACCCATCGGGGTGAAATCAAGATCCAAGCTGACGGTTCAGTTCTGGAAAGTGTGGAAGGTCACAAGAGTGGAGCTTCTCCCTCTTGTGACAAACTCATTAATTACATGCATGGGACAGAAAAAATCATTTCGGGTCAGGCCTGCTCGTCTGAGGTTTCACGAACTTGGGGCAACGAATTATTTCAGAGGGTGATACGGCTATGTTATCTTTTGTCCCCCAAGTCGAATTATAGACGAGGATATGGTGTGTCCAATTAATATTAGTGGCCCTAACAACCAGTATGGGTTAAGCGTTGGAAAGGATATAGCCCAGACTACTATTAATTCAATCTCAAGCAACAAATGGGATGACCTGGTGGTAGCGGATACATTAGAAGATGGGCTTGAAAGTAGTTGTACCAATTCCTCTAAAGAAAGAGTCCCTGAAAGTCCTGGGAACGCGGGTTTGGGCTACTCTCAGCTTATTGAAGGCCTAGTTTCTCCCATTCTAGAAAAGGGAGGGGTTGTACAACATGAAAACATTCGTCTGAGATCCCTCCCTCTCAATCCTGAGGGGCCCAAGGTGGCATCTCTTCTCAAAGACGCGTCCTCAGAAGATTAATCAGAGAATCTATCAACGATCCGAATTGTGATACGAGTGATGAAGGCGAGTCCTCGCCTACGTGTATAGAGGATGAAGCTTTAGTAGTTTGGGAAATGAGCAAAAAACTAGGAATTGTTTTTAAAGGAGGCAAGGAGGCAGTTCTGAAGAGGATACATGAAATTAAAGAGGATTCTCGGGTGAAAAGGTAATTAATCCTCCGTCTAGGGGAAGCTTGAAGGGGTATTAAGTTGTGGGCAATGAAGAATTTGCATGTAGTATCTTGGAATATCAGGGGGTTGGGTCGCAACGAAAAAGTAGGGCTGTTAAAAGGGTAATTAGACAACATAATCCGATGGTGGTGCTGCTCCAGGAAACAAAGTTGGAGAATATTCGCTCGTCGCTTCTCTGGAAAATGTGGAACAGGGCCAATGTCAAAAGTATTTTCTTTCCATCTTGTGGAGCGGCTGGTGGCCTTGTGTGTTTGTGGAATGATGATGCTTTCGTGGTTTCGAATCAGTTTACCTTCCAAAGATTTACGGCTGTAATCAGTCACCTCAAATATACAAATTTCCTCTGTGGCGTTGTGAATGTTTATGGTCCAGTGGTTGAAGCAGAGAAGATTGTTCTGAGTAGGGAGGAAAAGAGGGGGCTTGCTGCCAACTTAGCATCAATGGAGTGTTTTAGAAATTTCATCCAGGACGCACTTTTATCATACCTTCCTCTTAAGGGGGGTTCATTCACATGGAGTAATTTACGCGATAATCCAACTTTGGTGAGACTGGATAGATTTTTGGTTAGTGGACAGGTGTTATCTATGTTTCCAAATTTGGAGCAGGTTCTTCTCGAGAAATCAATTTCTGACCATAATGCCATAGCACTGGTGAACGAAGGGTGCAATTGGGGACCTAAGCCATTCAAGTTTTTTAACTACATGATTGAAGAAGATGGATTCTCAGAAATGATTATTGATAACTTTAAAAAGTTAGAATCGAAAAGGAGGGTAGGCGTGATGAAACTCCTCAAAGGGTCAAAGACAACCATTAAAACTTGGTCTGGGGATCGCAAGATTGGGTTAAACAAATCCATCGAGGAGTTAGAAGGCAATCCAGGATTTAGAAAAAAAAAGATAGAGAGTGGTCTAGCGGATTCGGGAAGTTTTGACTCTTTGTCTAAGGTAAGGGAAAATCAATGGAAAGAGCTTAGGATTGAAGAGCGGGCATGGCTGCAGAAATCTAGGCTGCGATGGTTCGAAGAAGGGGATTGCAATACCCGATTCTTCCTTATCGGCATCAAACAGGCGAGGGTTAATTTGTTGAAGGTCATTAACGTGGAGGACAGAACTATCACCAATCCGGGGGACATTAGAAATTATGTTCTGGAATTCTTTGCTAAGGCATACAATTCAAAGTGTTCAATTGAAGTGGAAAGTATGGCCCTCTATTTTTGACAGATTTCGTCAGTTCAGCAAGAGCTGCTAGAAACTAAATTTTCAGAGGAAATTTGGGGAGCGATCAATTCGTCGGATAGTAACAAAGCCCCGAGCCCCGACAGTTTTAATATGTGCTGCTTCAAAAAGTTCTAACCCCAGATCAAAGAGGCTATGGTGAGATTCTTTGAAGATTTTTATCACGGCAGGAGCTGGGAGGAAGGCTTAAATCACGCTTTTATAACCTTAATCCCCTAGAAGAAAAACCCGGAGACCCTTGAGGACTATAGACCTATAAGTTTGGTAGGAAGTGTGTGCAAGATATTATCAAAGGTTTTGGCTAGTAGACTTCGTTTTTGTGCAGGTGATATAATCAGTGGGTCCCAGTTCGCCTTCATACCTGGGAGGCAAATATTAGACTGCTCATTCCTTGCAAATGAGTGCATCGACGAGGCAATCAGGCGAAAATCTAGTGGATTGGTGTTCAAAGTCGACAAATTGGCGTACGATACTGTTGACTGGAACTTTCTCATCAAAGTCATGGAAGAGAAGAATTTTGGAAACAGATGGTGCAACTGGATTTTAAGGTGCATTTCTACTGCCTCTATAGCAGTACTAGTAAACGGATCGCCTACAAACAGATTTGAAATTGTCCGCAGGTTAAGACAAGGCTGTTCCTTGTCAGCTATGCTATTTAATATTGTTGGGGAAACATTAAGTTTGATGCTATCCAAAGCTGCCAGAGAGGGACTGTTTTCTGGTTTTCTAGTAGGCGCTGGAGGGAGGTTAGTAGAAATTACTCACAATTCGCGGATGACCTAATGATATTTTGTGAAGCGTCCTTCGAGCATATCAGGAATTTGAAAAGGATCCTACATGTTTTCGAGTTAGCTTCTGGGCTCCAACTGAATCTCAAGAAAAGTAGGATTTTTGGGGTTAATGTGGAAAATGATGTTTTGTCAGATTAGGCAAGCTCGGTGTGAAGTGGGTTCTTTTCCGGCTGAATACTTGGGCCTTCCAATCGGTCGAAGGCGAAATTCCCCAACTCTTTGGGAACCAGTGGTACAGAAGTTGGTTGTCTCATGGGGATCGCTTGGTCCTTATAAAATCGGTGCTATCTTTGCTTCCCGTTTTCTTTTTGTCGTTATTCAGGATGCCAGCTACTGTCCATCGGAAACCGTCGAGCCTCATGTCTATTTTTTTGTGGGGTGGTACTTCTGAGAAACAAAAGCTTCATTGGGTCAAATGGACTTCTGTTTGTAAGCCAAAAGCTGTGGGTGGCCTTGGAATCGCTGATTTAGAAGTGCAGAATAGAGCCTTGCTAGGGAAGTGGATATGGAAGTATGCGAATGAGAAAGGCAGCTTGTGGCAAAGGGTTATGAAACTAAACGTGGATGGAGCTACTTCTCGGAATGGTCTTACAGGTGGAATTGGTGGGATTTTCAGGAATAGTGATGGGCTGACCCTCGGCTTGTTTTCAGAACCAATCGGTCGCACTTCCCCTGTTCTAGCAGAGCTCTCACCCTTGAAACATGGACTGGATTTGTTCTTCTCCCCAAACGCAGCTGTCGGCCACAACCTTATAGTGGAAGGTGATTGTAAGTTGGTGATTGTAAGTTGGTGATTGATTGGGTTCTCAACCTTGAGTCTTGTCACTTGTGTTTTTCCTCCTTGGTCAAAGATATTTCCGATGTCATTACATCCAAGTCGGTTCTGCTACGGCATATTCCCAGAGCTGGAAATATTGAGGCGGATACTCTTGCCAAGAGAGGAATCGGTGAACTATGGAGACCCAGTGTGGTCGGTTGTTGGTGGATAATGGGGTTTGTCCATGACCTATTTATTTTGATTTTTCGGTGTGTTGTAATCGGACTCAGATGTGTTTTGCTTTTAATAATAATTTTTGACACTCTTTTTCTCCTCTCACTATCAAGGCTCGTCCTGGTTTTAATGAGGCCTCCTTCCTATAATATATATATATATATATATAAAGTTTTAATAATCAAATTGGATTGGATCGGATTCAAATTCGAGTTAATGAAATTGAACTTTTGGATTTGCCTAGGAATTAAAAGGTCTATGGTCAAGCCTTAAGTGTCTGTATTTTTTTTCTCATATTAATCCTTTTATTTGACTAGTTTTCTCACATTGGTCCCTAAGTTTTTTTTGTTCAAATTGGTTCCTAAATTTATTTATTTTCTACATTATTCCCTCTTTCACTAGGAGAATATACGGTTAGATTTGGTAGATTTTTTATTAGTCCACTTTTCGATTCAGTTAACCTTGATTTTGGATTTTTGTTTAATAGTTTTGAGTTCTGAGATTTTCTATTTTATTTTGATAAAATAACTTTATTTTATGACTTTTAAACATTACTTTTAAAAATTTTAAAGTATTTTTCATAAATATTTTTTAAAAATTTGTTTTTAAGTAAATAAAAAATTATTAGTAGTTTATACATAATTCGTTTTCGGTTTTTATTGCTCAGTCCTAATTGTAGTTATTAATTAATTAAGTTATTTTAGCTAGTAAATACATTTACTCATTAATTAAGATAAATTTTTTTAATTATTTTTTAATTTAGGGGTTAAAGTGAATAGAAAAAATAATTAAGATGCTAATGTGGGAAATAACAAAATTTTAATCCTTAAAAAAATTCAACGTATTAACATAGATGGAAAGAGATGAATAAATTGAAAATACCTGCACCAACAGCACATTGGGGAACTTCTCTTTGAACCGCTGAGCAATGTCCTCCCCAAGCGGAGCGCCGCCGCAGCCAAGCCCCTGGAGCGAGCTCAAGTCGCACTTCTTTGTCAATTCCGATTTAACAAACGCCAACACAAGCGGCGGCGATACCGGCATGCTTGTAACCTTGTATTTCTCAACTGCTCTCAGCATTTCTTCGAAATTAAACCTCTCCAAAATAACCACTGAGTTTGCTGAGAAGACCGCGGCCAACAACATAAAGAAACCGAACACATGGAAAAAAGGCACCGTGATGAACGTCACCGACCGCGGGGGCTCCTCGTTACTTCCGCCTTGGTTCGTGTTGAAGAAACGAGTCACCGTCATCTTTGCGATCAGGTTGCGGTGAGTAATCATCACACCCTTGACTCTCCCGGTGGTTCCCGAAGAATACAATATCGCAGCCGTGTCGGACTGGTTTACCTTGACTGTTTTAACGGCATCGTCATTGATATCGGACTGAGTTAACAATAAAATGAACTCGGGCGAGTCGAGGAGAATAGTTCCGTGTTTAAGAGTTGGGATTTTATGGGAGGTTTCTGAAGTAGCGAAGGCAACAACCGGGTTGCTGAGCTGGATCTGGTGAGCGATCTCCGAGTCGGAACTGAGTGGATTAGCTGGAGAAACGATGATTCCCAACGACAACAAAGCGAAGTAAACCACGGGGATAAGAATCGAAGGTGGAGATAGAACGAAAGCGACGTTGTTTTGGCACAGCAGAGAGTAACGTTGTTGTAGAGAGTAAGCGAGGGAACGGACTTGAGAAAAGAATTGAGAGAAAGATAAGGATTCGCCGGTGGTTGCGTTGACGACGAAAGTGGTGGCGCCGCCGGTGGAAGTCTGGAGACAGAATTCGGAGACGGAAAGCGGTTGGTCGACGGGGGGCAAGGGGATGGGGGGTCTAAGGCAAGTGTAAATTCGGGTTCGGTGACAAAATCCGGATATCGGATCCATTGAAGGGTGGATTTGGAGCATGCAGATTTGATTTCAGTGATTTTGATATGTCAATTGAAGGGTGACAAAATCCATAAGAGGATCACCACAACTCAACTCCCAACAACTGGATGCCACTTACCATAAAAAGATGCTAAAGTTAAAATTTATGATATTTTTTGGTGTGTTTGGTTTACTGAATGTAAGATTATAGTGGGAATAAAAGATTATCAGTGAGAATAAAAGATTATCAGTGGGAATAAAATATTACCAGGGAATAAGATTACTGTATTTGGTTGGTTTGACAAAAATGTAAGATTACAGTGTTTGGTTAAAGGAATAAAAAATTACTAAAATGTATATTTTACTAAATTGTACTTGGTCTATATTTTTTAACAAGTGAAATTCTAAATATTTAAATAAAAATTATTTATATAAAAATTCTATCTGTTAATAATATATTACCTAAGTATTTAAATATATCATGTATTATTTTTATTTTAATTAATATTAAGTTTTATATAATTTATGTAAAAATATATTAAAATTTTACATCAACATTTAACTAAATGTTTACACTGTGAAAACTAGTTTCGGTTTATACGTGCCGCATTCATTAGGAGATTTCTTGTATTTTTCAATCGACTATGTTTACATTCTAGTATGAAAAGTGATTTAATATGAATGATTTAATATGAAAAGTGAAGGAAAAAATTATAGTATACATGATATTAAGTTAATTTCACTCGATGAAATTTTTTACACTCAACTACATTAATCTTAAATGTTCCTTTTAACCGTAATTTTTCCCTTTGAACTTTTAATCAAAGAAAAGATATCTATAAATATATCACTTATAAGAGATCAAATACAAAATCTACTTGAACATTCAATTTTCAATAGCTTACAAAAATAAATATCATAAATTCAGTGCTTCTAATTTTTCATATCAATGATTAATTTTTCTTTGTTGGATTCTTTCGATTTACAAACATCACCTATAAAACCTCAATAGATTGTGTCAAATTGACAGCCTTTAAAATCTCAAAGAGAACATTTGAAGTCTGGTATGTTTTTGTGAGTTGTGCCCTACAAATGAACAAAATATTTGCCGGCAAATAACAAACTATAACAATTTCCACAATAATCCATTTCAATCTCATTGTAATGCAATTTCTTGTGTGTGTATATAAGCTATAACAGAAATTCAAATGCATATTGAACATGCTACATTTAAGCAATAGCATCATTCATACTAAGCTGCCGTAAATATCGATTCAAGATTATCCTTTGTTTTCTCAATTCATAGGAAAACATAAACGACATAACAATCGCATTTAAGGTCAAATTATAAAAGAGTTGTTCAATTGTAGCACAACTTCATCAGTCAAAGCCTCTAAAGGACCGACCACCACAATCCGAGAGGCCCGTCACACCGAAAATGAGTTTTCATAAGATTCTAGATCAAGAACTTCTCAATAGCATCCTACATTTCACAAATGGAAAAACAAAAGATGCAGATGCATAAGCAGATTCAGCCAAAAAGGGTGCAAAATATCATTAATTTTACAAGGTAACAAAAGTACCTTGAGTTGTTGTATTTGGGATTTCAATTGGCTTCATTCGTTTGTTGTGACAGAACAGGAAATTACTGGTCTTGTGACCCCACATGCTCGTCCAAGTGCTTGCTTTGAAGGAACAAATACATAGGGGACATTCTGCAAAAAATCAAATACAAAGTAAATTATTGTGCTCAAAATCTAGGTAATGAATCAAGGTGTTGTAGATAAGATTTTGCTTCTATGATGAACTACTTTAAATTAGAAGTCAATATGATGTGTTATAGGAATGCTTCCAAGCTCAAGAGTGGAAAACAATTTACATTAAACAAAGTGTATAACCTTAAGTCAAAGATGCTTCAAATTCACAGCTAGTGAGTACATCATTGATTTGAAGCAATAAAATCAGGCACCCTATAAGATAATTAGTCAAACCCTAAACCCAAAGCTAAATATTACAGCAGTGATACGACTAATTAAAACGTTAAAGTTAGGTTACAGAATAACTTATACAACAACCATAAGCACATCAACAACAAATACATATACCACTCATAAGTACTAAACAAAAGAGGAGAAAACTCCAAAACTGCTGAAGATCATATGTCTTCATACAGTCACCCAATTTGTAAATTACAGTTGAGTTTGGCAACTAGAAGCAAGTTTGCAGCTTGATATGGTAGTTTTTCCACATTATTACGTGAGGTACACAATTCAAATAGTGCAGGCAAAGCATAAACTTATATTATATCCCATCCAATCAAGCAATTTCAACCTGCCTAACTTTGCATCCACATAAATTTTAAAACAACTAAAATACCACTTAGCAATAACTTTCCTAGTGTAAGCTCACATATTAAACAAGAATTAAGCAATCAAAAAGTCTATACCAGAAAAACAAAAAGAAAAATATGCATATTCCATAGAACAATTACCTTATCTTCATCAAGCAAAGGAAGGTAGAGCAGAATCTCAAGGGGCTCAGTATCTGCATCCATCACAAAGAACTCTGAGATACCTCTGTTCAGGGTCTTGGTAGCTAAATCCCAAACAAATCCAATTAAAGAAGAAAAAGAAATGAAGAAGAAGATCAGGAGAAAGAAATATCGAAAACGATAACAATAATTACAATAAACGGAAAAAAATGGAAATGGGTATTGTTTACTAACCTTCATTAACTCCCTTTTTGAGCTGCTTGTAGTTTGCAGCTTGTTGTACAAGTGATAACTCCATAAAAATGTCATATTTGGGACCTTTTCACTTAAGTTATTGATTGACTAAGAGCCCATTTAGGAGCATATAGTTGCATGTGGTGAAATTATGTTTGTCGTGACATTTTATTTTGTAATCAGTGTTGCTTTATGGGGAAGGTGTTTTTCTGGTGATGTGCAGGATTTGGGAGCAAGGAAAAGCAAAAGGGAAATGTCGTGACATAAGGAGACTGCTGAGCAAAATGCAAATGCCGAACCAGTTGGCATTTCGAGAGCGATTAAAACGAGAGAAAAATAGTTTTAGTAAGAGCTAGCTGTCACGGCATAAAAAAATGCTTTATGCAATCAGCATTAAAGGAGGGGCCAATTACCATCTTTGCACCAAGTTTCACATAAAAGGAATGAACTTTAGGGTGCAAGTGTAATTTTAACACAAAACCCTAGGTTCATTCTCCCCTATAAATAGAAGATGAAGCCTGACTTTTTAAGGAGACTTGGAAATTTTTAGACAGCCGTCAAGAGCCTAAAAATTTGGAGAAAAAGTTCTCTGTCAATCCGATTTGCCGTGGCATTCCTCCGTTGACAGGCTAGAGGGAGTGGCGTTCTAGGCGTCAGAGAGGAGCTAGATCACTGGGATTGTTCGTGGTGGCCGAGGGAAGCTCTGGCAGTGCACGTCGAAGGCTTTTCCTCATTCTCTTTGCTCTTTGCTTTCGTTATTTATTATTTGGGTTGTAAGGAACGGATTAACTTGCTTTGTGCTTGTTTATTTCGAACCCCACCATGAACTAATCCTATTTGGTGGGAGTTTATTTTGGATATTTAAGATTTGCTTTAATGAATGATTGTTTTTCTATGTTATAATATGTTTTGCTTATGAATTTTAATGCCTTAAGGTTGTAGGAGCTATGAGAGTAGACATTCCTTAGGTGATTACTTAGTGTTCGAGAGAATGCCTAAGTAGCATATCCTTAGTATTCGAGAGAAACTAGGGAGGAACCACATAAGCAAGGGGTTCTAGATAGTAACTAGGCCTAATCCACCTTAGAGATAAGGCTAGGATTTCATTCGACTAAAAGGAGTTGTGCATGAGCGATAAGTTAAATGTTAATGCTGCCGCAAAAAGGTATTGCCGAGACATATCCTGTTATCTGGTCCAATAGGATCCCTGCAGTAGCTAACGCCAATCGGTTTTGCCAAGGCATCTTCAATCTGTCGAGTCCCTTAACTAGAGATAACATAGGGCACCCTTAGTAAACTCTGTCGGGCAGTTAAGGCATAGAAGTAAAACCATTCTGAGAAGTGGACTTAGATTTTCCTAGGTAACTCTCATCCATAGTAGCTTGTCGTGTGAGGAGTCTAAAGTTCTTATAAGCAAATCAAGTATTTACAGTTTATTTTGCCTTTACATTTTTATTTGATCGCACTACACACAATCCATTTTGCCACAACATATTCATTTGCTACCACATTGCCATCGTTCCATTTCCATATCATCCATTCATTTTGCCACAGCATCATCATTTGTATATACCATCTCTAACTTTACTTAGGTGACAGAGTAAAGTGTCGTGACAAACTTATTTGATTTCCCCCAATCCCTGTGGAGAACGATACTCACTCATCACTTTATTACTTGTTCGATTGTGTATACTTGCACACATATCCGCACCATTTATAGTACTCACAAACAACAGACAACAAGATCTAAAATCGTTGTTGTCAACTGAGCATTCGCTAGTGGGTATGCTTTGGGGTTCACAGATTCTCCAATCTGCAAAAAATATCAGCCAATTGTAAGGTATAATGCATAGATAAAACTACATGAGCTTAAAAAATAAGAGAGAACCATTACCATTTTTCTCTTGGAGAAAACTGAGGAAAATAATCTGAGAATAAGGGACAAGGTGTTTCCTCCAAACTACGCTCGGTCATAACCAAGAAGGATAAGTGTACTTTAGACAAGAGAACCGGGAATAAGTAAATATCTAAGAGAGATAGGGGTATAACATTCTCGGGAAAGTAAGAAGAAAAAAATCATTGTTGGTAAATTATTTTCCTGCACTTGGAAATGTAGTCCATCCAAACATGGGTATGTTTACCCGGGAAAAAAGATTACCAACAGGAATTAATATGACCTGAATCAAACAGGGCCTTATGGGTTTTTGATCGAATCAAGTTAAAAATTGCTAAATTATTTAAATCGAAGAGTAATTATTTAAAATATTTTCAAATAAAGTCATTCATAAAATTTAAGTCGAATTGAATTATTTAAGTATCTATTTAAATT